TGGAGTACAATGGCACAATCTTGGCTCACTGCAACCTCCACTTCCCAGGTTCAAGTGATTCTCCTGCCTCAGACTCCCGAGTAGCTGGGATTACAGGCACACACCACCACACCCAGCTAATTTTGTATTTTCAGTAAAGATGGGGTTTCACCATGTTGGTCAGGCTGGTTTCCAACTCCTGACCTTAGGCGATCCACCAGCCTCGGCCTCCCAAAATGCTGGGATTACAAGTGTGATTCACTACGCTTGGCCTAGAATACTACTTTTACACACCCCTATGAAGTTAAAGCAACACTTCCATTCTCTTCTTAAACCGTAACTGCTATTACAACCAATCCCTTAAAAAGAAGATACCGAGTGCTCATATTAGCTAAATTTAAAACAATATAGGAATGCTGCATTCTGAATGAAGTCAATGTGGTCTTTTATCTGCAAAGGCTCAAAGATATTCTAATATTATATGTTTATTCTCTAAATTAAATTGATTTAGTAACTGACAAGTATACATATATAATTAAATTTAAACTCATGCCATAATTGTGAAATTACCTGTAAAATGTATAATCTTTTTTTTTTTTTGAGACGGAGTTTCGCTTTTGTTACCCAGGCTGGAGTGCAATGGCGCGATTTCGGCTCACCACAACCTCCGCCTCCTGGGTTCAGGCAATTCTGCCTCAGCCTCCTGAGTAGCTGGGATTACAGGCATGCGCCACCATGCCCAGCTAATTTTTTGTATTTTTAGTAGAGATGGGGTTTCACCATGTTGACCAGGTTGGTCTCGATCTCTCGACCTCGTGATCCACTCGCCTCGGCCTCCCAAAGTGCTGGGATTACAGGCTTGAGCCACTGCACCTGGCTAAAATGTATAATCTTTTGTACATATTTTAAATGTGGTTCATAAGTCTGCTAGCTTATATATAATGATCAACTGTAATGCTCAAAAAGCTAATGTGGCAATTTCAAAGGTAGAAAAAGAAGTTTAATGATAAAGACTAATGTGGTTTTACTCTATTAAAAGCCAATAAACAGCGACTAAACCCAAAGTACTAAGAGCCTGTTAAAGCATTCTCTATGTTCTCATCTTCTGGTGTTATAGAATAAGGAAAAGTCACAACTTTTCTTCTACATATCAGTCAGGCCTAGTCACTCCATCTTTGGTGAAAGCCATGGGTCAGTAAGGGTTATATACAACCATATATAGAAGTAACTTAAAGGAGAGAAGGGAAATCATATTTCCCTTTTTTATTCTCCTCTCAACTTTTCTTTAGTGTATTACAATCTCCCTCATCTGGTTGTTACTATTTTTTCACCTCCACTGTCTTGCTGTATTTGTGAGGACATATGAACAAGTAAAAAACAGTATTAATTCATTAGCACGTGAATATATATATCCTTTACAAAGGTCCCCACAGTTAGTTACCTGATGAATGATACTATCAAAGAAAGTTTTTTGTCAGTCAGTTTCTAGGAAACTACTATCCTGATTATTGATGACATTTCACACTTGTTATACTACACATGCTATAACATAGGTTAAAAAGTTCAGTTCATTTACAAAATTAAGGCCACAAAGTGTTTTCTAAACCACACTCATCCCTAAATATGTAAATCCCCGGACATTCTTTCAGATCTCAATGTTCTACATTCCATTTAAGGAATGGGACAAAGTATAAGCCTCTACAATAGATCTGTAAAATTAGTTATGGCCTGCTTGCACTGCTCCTTTTTAAAATCTTGCCCTCTACTTATATTGAGCAAATCAGCATCTTTCAGTCAAAGAACCTCAAATATAAAAATTTGAGATTTACAATGTTTTTAAGTTTACAAATTCTTTGCTTAAACAAAAGGGGAGAAAACAATGGAAAGCATTAACATTAGATAAATGATAGTACTTAAATTCAGGAAACCAGATTAAACTCAAGACTCTCTTAGGTTAACACTATGCCTACTATAAGAAAGCTTTACCCTTCTGTAAGGTCAATTTGATGATGTATGGAATTCAATTGCTAAAGACACTGAATAAGTAAAATGGTATGATATCTTTCACATTTATTTTAAAATTTCATAAACAAAAAAATTTTACGTCCAATTTAAGAGTCTTGCTCTGTCACCCAGGGTGGGGTGCGTGCAGTAGCACAATCTTGGCTCACTGCAACCTCCGACTCCTGGGTTCAAGCGATTCTCCTGCCTCAGCCTCCTGAGTGGCTGGGACTACAGGTGTGCACCACCACACCCAGCTAACTTTTCTATTTTTAGTAGAGACAGGGGTTTTACCATGTTGGCCAGAATGGTCTTGATCTACTGATCCACACGCCCACATTGGCCTCCCAAAGTGGTGGGATTACAGGTGTGAGCCACCGAGCCTGGCCCTGTTTTAAATGATCCAGTCACAGAGCTGAGTTTTGAATAAGTGGTCATCATCCCTATCATTCTCAGATTTCAGAAAAGGACCCTCCCCGCCACTTCTTCTATTAACAAAAAAAATCTTCACACACACACCTTTTAATTCCAAATTGGTACAAATAAATTTGTTTGGTCACTTTTTTTTTTTTTTTTTTTTGAGACAAGAGTCTCGCTCTGTCGTCCAGGCTGGAATACAGTGGTACAATCTGGCTTCACTGCAACCTCTGCCACCTGGGTTTAAGTAATTCTCCCGCCTCAGCCTCCTAAGTAGCCGGGATTACAGGCATGCGCCACTGCGTCAGGCCTGCAGGAGTCTCTCAAAAATATTCCAATTACTCAAGAAGCCAGAACAAACCCTGAAAAGGAGGCAAGAATAAGCAGTATTTTTACTCTTCAACTGTAGAAAACATAAGTATCTCTTGAATTGTAAGATAGGTCCCTTAACAATAAGGAATCATTAACCTCTATTATAAACACTGGGCTGTTTGTATGAAAATCGCACATTTTTATAAAGTCCAGTTCTTGGGTTGCGGTGTAAAATGTTAAAAAAGATTAATTTCCATTCCCCTTAATTCTATAAAGGGCATTCACATTTTTTTGAGCTCAAAATCCCAATTTTAATTGAAGCTGTATTGAGGTAAAACAACTCATTACTTTTATCAAGATGACATGCAAAGCCACTGCTTAAGTGCCACCTTCATTCACTCCCAGCTACAAAGGATGTCTCCATGTAAAATTGCTTTACTGTACTTATTTATTTATTTATTTATTTATTTTTGAGACAGAGTCTCACTCTGTTGCCCAGGCTTGAGTGCAGTGGCACAATCTTGGCTCACTGCAACCTTTGCCTCCCGGGTTCAAGTGATTCTCCTGCTTCAGCCTCCCAAAGCGAATGCCACCACGTCTGGCTAGTAGAGATGGGTTTTCACCATTTTGGCCAGGCTGGTCTCGAATGCAGGTGATCCACCAGCCTTGGCTTTCCAAAGTGTTTGGATTACAGGCGTGAGCTACCACTCCTGGCCAGAAACATCCTTTTAAAAAGGACATCTCCAGAAAAGCATTCTTCTAATTCTTTAACCAATTACAAATAAAGACAATTATCTCGACCTAAAAAACAAACAAACAAACAAACAAAAACCATAATAAGATATAACTGGTGCACCTAGAAGCACAAGTTGATTTACACTAAAATACACTTAGGTACCACTGGTGAAAAAAAATATTTTCTATGACCACAAAGGGCCATAATAGGGCCCCTCATTTCTATTAAATAAATCTTTAACGCCTACATATATTTTAGTTTAAAAGTAGGTGGGAATCTTTTTTTTCTTTTGGAGATGGAGTCTCACTCTGTCGCTCAGGCTGGTGAGTGGGAATCTTAACATGTTACTTTCTTAGGTGGGAAAAGTGACAATTATCTACAACTTATTCCTTTCCTAGACTTGATGACAAATTTTAAAAAAAGCAAACAAGGTCCCTCTAGTAGTCCTCTTCGCTTCCCCCACAATCCAAACCAACCGTTACCCAATTGTATTATAACGAAAGTTAATTAAAGGAATAGACAGCAAAATTTCTATCATAACTACTCAACATTTTCAAAACAAGAAGCATTTTACAACTACCATCATATGTTTATTGTATGACTTCAGAAAGTTCTGTTGGGGCAATCAATACTCCATCCTAAAAAATGAGCAGGTTCAATTTTCATTTCTCTCCGTGCTCCAAAATGTCAAAAAAATTCCAATCAAAAGAATTAAAGCTAACTTTTGTAGTCTACTTGGTCACTACTACAGTCTATTTGCTTTAAATCTCTTTCCTCAAAGAGAACTAAAGCCTAAACTGACCTTCTGATTTGACTTTTTGGTTCTAGATGTTTACATTATCTTTAAAAAAGGACAAAACTCTCCCTCCAGCACACCTCAAGTGTTTTTATGTGCTTCCCCTAGCGACTAGAATAAACATCAAAACAGCCCGGAACCTGTCGCACAGAGGTTTTGTTTTCTTTCCGAGGTTTCACACTAACGTCTACAATTCCCATTATAGGGTAAATTTGGGAAATGAAACTCAAACACTGATAAACCTTCCAGTACATTTAAGCTGGGAATAACGTATTATTTGTGATGTTTATACTTCTCCGACCCCAAATACATTAATAAAAACTTTCTTCTGAGCCCTCTTCGGTGGGGGATAGGGTGAGAAGAGAAATGGGAGAGGGCCTGTTAATTTTCAGGTCATGTTTTAAGTTACAGAACAATATATACTGACTAGTTATCTTAAATATACTGTGCCAGGGAACTCGTTCAGTTACGTAAGACTTTTTTTTTTTTTTTTTTTTTACCGTAAAAACCTGTAAAGGAGTGGTCAGTTTTTATATGAAAGGTCATAGAAAGAAGAGCATTAAAAGTTGAGATATAAAGAGAAAAAAGCCAACATCAAGGAATCAGAAAAATAAGGCGTGACAGCATTTCCACATTCATTTCGAAGTGAAAGGAAAGTCAGTCGAAGGGACATTAAGGGAAAAGGGCTCCTTGCGCAGTTTTTCCCCTCACAGCTCTCGTCTTAAGAACGCTTAAAGTTCGGTGCGGTCGTTGACTAACCACTTCATTAGGCTCGTCCCACCTTCAACCTCAAGGCTTTCGCCTTTATAGACGCAACGCTGCCGGTTCCAACAGAGACGCGGCCGCTCACTGCAATAGAGAGCCAAGGAGACACAGGCCCCAGCTAGTCCCACGCCAGCTTCTCCCCGCCCGGAAAACAGCCCCGCGCACTTTCAACCCCTAGACCCTCTACGATGCTCAGGGTCGCCAGAAATGCCACCGCAGGAAGCACCTACCACTATCCGGACGGAGGTGAGCTCCCTGCCGCCTCCTCCCGCCCAACCGCGACGGGGACCCACACCTCAGAGCAGAGATAAGGAAGCCTCAGGGGTGGGGAGACGGGAGGGACCAATGCGGGACAGGGAGGGAAGAGGACCCAGAAGTCCAGGTATCAGTCAGCCTCTAAAAAAGGGGGAGGGGTGTTATCCGTGGTTTGGGGAAGGAATAGAACCCAGAAGCCATCTTGGGATGTGAGGAAGCAATCGCGATGGCTCCGGAGGTAGCTCCTCGCGGGACTCCCCGCAACCCCGCCCGACCGCGCTTGTCCCCGTGAAACCCCGAGCATTGGGCCGCCGCCTAGACGGCTCCCGCGGCTTTGTACTCACTCTGCCCTCGAAGTTGTTCTCCTCTACATCACTCATGTCGACCAGACGCTCCCCAGAACTAAGTAAGAGACAAGTCTCGGCTCGAGGGCCGATGGCCTACTTAACCCGCTGACTCGACCGCAGGGAAGAGGAAAGAGTCGGCAACAACGGCCGCTCTACTCCACTCCCACTCGGTCACAGGCTCCGGCAAAATGGCGCCGGCGCCGCCAGAAACCTGGCCTCTCAGAGCACGACGTAAGGGGGCGGGCGTCTCTGTGACGTCACGATGCCCCGCCTCCCGCGAGGCTTTGTGTCTGCTGGGCCTGGCGCGCCGGTGGGGGTTGGCGGGTGGTCTGCGCTCTTTGCTTGGGCTCCTTGGAATTGCGGCCCCGCGCTGACTTCCAAACTTCAGACTCATCTCGGACGCGTCAACTTCTTTGAAGATTTTTCAGTCACCAGATGAGCCTTATATTACCTTAGCTCCTTTAAATATTGTCCAAGTGGAATCTGATGTAAGGGAACAAAACATTGGAAACTTATTTATTTGTTTATTTTTTGAGTCAGGGTCTCGCTCTGTCACCCAAGCTGGAGTGCAGTGGAGCAATCACTGCTTACCACAGACTCAAACTCCCGGCCTCAGGTGATCCACCCACGTCAGCCTCCCCCCGGCCCCCCCCCCCCCGCCTCCGCTCCCGCGCGCCCGCGCCCCACCACACCCTGCTAATTTTTGTGCGTCGTGCCGAGATGGGGGTTCGCCATTTTCCCCAGGCTGGTTTCGAACTCGTGGACTTAAGCGACCTGCTCGCCTCAGCCTCCGAAAATGCTGGGATTACAGGCCTGAGACACCGCGCCCTGCTGAAATCGAGTATATATGATTAATAGGCTTCGCGGGGCGGGGGGTATGTTTTCAGTTTACCATATTACTTTTCTTCCATATTTGCCCTGTGTCGATGTAATGCATGAACAGATGAGGTTATGATGCAAAGCTGCGGCTCCTTGCCTCATCCCTTCCTGCCTCCAGTTCTCCCTTCTAGAGAGAACCCTGTAGTTTTTTTTTTTATAATGCTTAGCTCCCTACTTGTCTTTTTGACTTAGATATTTCCATAAAGCTTCATAGCAAAGACCTCCCAAATCTGTCAACTTGCTTCCCAATCACAGTAATAATTCCTGAGATGAGTTTTACTTGTGTAATGCAACTTTAAAAATTAGTTTCATCTTCAATTTTTTTCCTACAGTCTTTGTGGTAATAAGATTGACATAGACTTTCAACCATATTTCTATAGTAGGAAAGTTCATCCACCATTATTATGAAGATTGCTACCCATGAGCAAGATTTCAAGATTTGAATGTCAGTTATTGATAGGGCTAATTTTTATTTCTTTTTTGGGATGGAATCTCCTGTTGTCACCCAGGCTGGAATATAGTGGCGTGATCTTGGCTCACTGCAACCTCTGCCTCCTGGGTTCAAGTGATTCTCCTGCCTCAGCTTCCCGGAGTAGCTGGGACTACAGGCCTGTGCCACCACGCCCAGCTAATTTATTTTATATTTTCAGTAGAGATGAGGTTTCACCATGTTGGCCAGGTTGGTCTCAAACTCTTGACCTCAGGTGATCCACTCGCCTTGGCCTCCCAAAGTGCTGGGATTACAGGTTTGAGCCACTGTGCCCAGCCTGATCAGGCTAAACTTATATGACATCTGCCTCTTAGAAAAGATGTTGAACTTGGCTGGGCATGGTGGTTGACACCTGTAATCCCAGTACTTTGGAGACCCTAGGTGGAAGATCACTTCAGGCCAGAAGTTCGAAACCAGCCTGGTCAAAATGGTGAGCCTCCATCTGTACAAAATAAATTATTATCATTTCTGAGATGGAGTCTCGCTCTGTCACCCAGACTGAAGTGGAGTGGCATGATCTCAGCTGACTGCAGCCTCCGCCTCTGGGTTCAAGTGATTCTGCTGCCTCAGCTTCCTGACTAGCTGGGATTACGGGTGTGCACCACCATGCATGGCTAATTTTTGTATTTTCTGTAGAGACAGAATTTCACTATGTTGGCCCGCATGGGCTGGAATTTGTGACCTCAGGGGATCTGCCCACTTTGGCCTCCCAAAGTGCTGGGATTACAGACGTGAGCCACCAGGCCCAGGTTGATTTGAACCACTGATCAATCTTAATACCACTGAAAGTGAGATAACTAGATAGGAGATACCTCATGATGTGATGCAATAGAAAATACCCAGTGCCTCCTGTGAAGTATTCCTGATCCCTCAAATTGAACTCAAACCTAATTAAGCCTTAGATCTAGCCGACAGTTTACAGAAAATACAAGAAAGGGAAAAAGAAAAACATTGAGATGAAGTAATCAGCTTCCACAGGACAAATAACCTAATTTCCCCCACTGATTATATTTACAATCAAGGATGGGAGTGAGGTGGACTATTATGGACTAAGAAGGGGTCTTCCCCCCACCCCCTTTATTCCTCCTCTTATTTATTATTTGGAGACATAGTCTCACCCTGTCACCCAGGTTGGAGTGCAGTAGCACAACGTGGCTCAAGCGATCCTCCCACTACACCCTCCTGAGTAGCTGGGATGATAGGTGCTAATTTTTAAGTTATTTGTGGAGACCAGGTTTCACCGTATTACCCAGGGTGCTCTCAAACCCCTGGGTTCAAGTGATCCTCCTGCCTAAGCCTCTCAAAGTGCTGAGCAAATAGGCTGGGCCTAGAAGAGTAGTTTATTTTTTCTTTTTATTTTTTTGAGACAGAGTTTCACTCCTATACCCAGGTTGGAGTACAGTGACATGATCTTGGCTCACTGCAACCTCTGCCTGTTGGGCTCAAGAGATTCTTCTGCCTTAGCCTTCCCAGTAGCTGGGACCACAGATGCATGCCACTGTGCTTGGCTAATTTTTGTATTTTTTTGTAGAGAGGGGGTTTCAATATGTTGGCCAGGCTGTTCTCGAACGCCTAGACTCCTTGGCCTCCCAAAGTGCTGGGATTACAGGAGCTATTTGCTTTATTCTATGACTTTATTATCCATTGCTATCATTATTCATTTTGTTGCTTGAATTGTCCCAGATTTCAGTTAGAATCTTTTCTTTTTTTTTTTTTTTTTTGAGGCAAAGTCTTGCACTCTCACCCCAGTTGGAGTGCAGTGGCGTGATCTTGGCTCACTGCAACCTCTGCCTCCCAAGTTCAAGCAATTCTTCTGCCTCAGCCTTCCAGTAGCTGGTAATCCCAGGCACCTGCCACTGCGCCCAGCTAATTTTTTGTATTTTTAGTAGAGATGGAGTTTCACTATATTGGCAAGGCTGGTCTCAAACTCCTGACCTCGTGATCCACCCACCTCAGCTCCCAAACTGCTGGGATTACAGGCGTGAGCCACCAAGCCTGGCCAGAATCCTTTTATATGTTTCAGCATATATATATATCCTTTTTTGTGAATTGTCTGTTTTCCATTTTTCTATTGGATTTTATCCTTCATCCCTTAAATTTTTTGAGCTCCTTAGATGTTAGGAATATTAGCCTTTTATTTGTGCTTTATGTTGCTAATATTTTCTCCTAGTTTGTATGTTGTTTATGACTTTGCTTATGGTATATGTTACACACTATGTTTTTATTTTTAATTTATTTTTTATACTATGGCAATAAAAGATTCCCAAACTAACATACTATTTTTTTTTTTTGAGACAGAGTTTCGCTCTTGTTACCAAGGCTGGAGTGCAATGGCGCGATCTCGGCTCACTGCAACCTCTGCCTCCTGGGTTCAGGCAATTCTCCTGCCTCAGCCTCCTGAGTAGCTGGGATTACAGGCACGTGCCACAATGCCCAGCTAATTTTTTGTATTTTTAGTAGAGACGGGGTTTCACCATGTTGACCAGGATGGTCTCGATCTCTTGACCTTTTGAACCACCATGCCTGGCCTACACTACGTTTTCTTACGGAATTGAGTCTATTTCTGGATTTTCTGTTTCCTTGGTCATGCACCAGTGCCATCCTATTTTAAAATAGAGGCTTTCAAATTTTTATGTCTGATTGGGCAAGTCCCCCTTCCTGTATATTTTTAAGTAAGTCTCATTGCTTCGTAGCCACAATTCATTTTTAAAATCTTTTTTTATTTTATTTATTTTTGAGCCAAGATCTTGCTCAGTTGCCCAGGCTAATTCTCCTACCTTAGCCTCCAGAGTAGCTGGGACTACAGGCATGTGCCATCACACCCAGCTAATTTTTTCTTTCTCTCTCTCTTTCTTCCTTCCTTCTTTCTCTTTCGTTTCCTTTTTCTTTTCTTTTCAGCAGAGATGAGGTCTTACCATGTTACTCAGGCTGGTCTTGAATTCCTGAACTCAAGTGATCCTCCTCTCTCGGCTTCCCATCGTGCTGGGATGACAGGTGTGAGCCACTGTGCCTGGCTGTCACTATCCATTTTTATGGGAAAAATAATTTAATACCTTTTAATTATGAACTTCCTGACAAAGGGGAAAAAAACTCCTCCCAATTTTCTCATTATCATCTTCATTATATTTTCTCTACCTTCATTGTGATGTCATCTATACAATCCATGTAATATCATTTTATGAACTTTTAAAATTTAATAATACATCAATATTCAGGCAGACCTTGGGAGTTTTTTTTTTTTTTTTTTTGTAGAGATGGGGTTTTGCCATGTTGCCCAAGCTGGTCTCAAATTCCTGGGTTGAAGCAATCTGCCTGCCTCAGCCTCCCAGAGAGCTGGGATTACAGGTGTGAGCTGCAGAGCCTGACTTCTTGGGAGAAATTGAAAATGTGAGTATGTGAAATATCTTTCCTCTCCCCAAGCTCAACCACTCACTTTTGGCATGTGAGGAGTGTTTGACTACTTGAGGCTAAGTCTTCTTGTTCAGCTCTTATTGGGAGTTTAGGACAGGATCCTGCATGAACAGCAATATTAGAAATAGAAGACGTCTCCAGTTCCCTCATTTTATATGCAGAAAGGGAGACTCAGAAAAGGGAAGTCACTTGCACCAGTAAGAAAGAGATGGACTTTGGGTACAGTGTACACTGCTTGGGTACTGGATGCATCAAAATCTCAGAAATCACCACTAAACAGCTTATCCGTGTAACCAAATACCACCTGTTCCCTAGAAAGTGTAGAAATCTATAGGAATAAAAAATATGAAAAAACTCTTTAAAAAAGAGAGAGAGATGGGAACAAGCTTAGAGATAATCTAATTACTTGGGGTTCTTTTTTGTTGTTGATTTTGGAGACAGAATCTTGCTCTGTCATCCAGGCTGGAGTGCAATGGCGCAATCTTGGCTCACTGCAACCTCTACTTCCTAGATTCAAGCAATTATCCTACCTCAGCTTCCTGAGTAGCTGGGATTACAGATGTGTGCTACCATGTCAGGTGAGTTTTTGTGTTTTTAGTAGAGACATGGTTTCACCATGTTGACCTGCTTGGTCTCGAACTCCTGACCTCATGATCTGGCCCACCTTGGCCTCCCAAACTGTTGCAATTATAGGCATGAGCCACTGTGCCTGAGCCTACTTGGTTTTACAGAAGCAGAACTCGCAACGTGCCCACCCAGAGTCATGTGGCACTAATGCCATTGAGTTCTCACCATGCTTCAGACACTGGGCTAAGTTTTTGGGGGGGACAGTCTTGCTCTGTCATCCAGGTCGGAGTGCAGTGGTGCCATCTCAGCTCACTGCAACTTTGGCCTACTGGGTTCAGGTGATTCTCCTGCCTCAGATTACAGGTGCCGCCCCATGCCTGGCTAATTTTTGTATTTTTAGTATAGATGGGGTTTTGCCAATGTTGGCCAGGCTGATCTCGCACTCCTAACCTCAAGTGATCCACCCGCCTTGGCCTCCCAAAGTGCTGGGATTACAGGTGTGAGCCAGCCCAAAAGATAGCTCTTAGAAATTAAAAATATTAGATTAGATGAAAAACTCCATAAAGAGTTACAGGCGTGGTGGCTCATGCCTATAATCCCAGAATTTAGGGAGGCTGAGGTGGGCGGATCATGAGGTGAGGAGTTCAAGACTAGCCTGACAAACATGGTGAAACCTCGTCTTTACAAAAAATACAAAAATTAGCTGGGCATGGTGGCACGTGCATGTAATCCCAGCTACTCAGGCGGCTGAGGCAGGAGAATCCCTTGAACCTGCGAGGCGGAGGTTGCAGTGAGCCAAGATCTCATCATTGCACTCCAGCTTGGGTGACAGAGCAAGACTCTGTTTAAAATAAAATAAAATAGTGAATTTTATGTTATGTGAAGTATATCTCAAATTTTTAATGCTGTAAATAATAAAAAAGATCAACAAAGAGAAAGAGAGCATAAATAATCTACTTTGACTATTAAACCAGTATGTTGACATGTATGAACCAGTATGCTGACACTTAATCTCTTTAACTACAAAATGGTGCGAGATAAAATTGCCCCAATAAAGCAATAATGAATTTGTGATGATGGTGGTATTTTTTTCCTTTCCAATTTATTGAAGCAGTAAAAATGAGTCTGGTGTTATAAACAAGTAATGAAATGACCTTACATAAAAATTATGATATTGCCAGGCGCAGTGGCTCACACTTGTAATCCCTGCTCTTTGGGAGGCTGAGGCAGCCAGGTTATTTGAGCTCAGGAGTTCAAGACCAGCCTGGCCAATATGGTGCAACCCTATTTCTATCAAAAATACAAAAAATTAGCTGGGCATGGTGTCCTTTGGTCCCAGCTACTCCGGAGGCTGAGGTGGGTGGATTGCTTGAGCCTGGGAGGTTGAGGCTGCAGTGAGCAGAGATTATACCACTGCACTCCAGCCTGGGCAACAGAAAGAGACATTGTCTAAAAAAACATATTATGAGGCACAGTGATATTATATTAAATGATTATACAAACTGATAATCTAGATAATGTATATTACTTGATTATACAAACTGATGATATAGATATAAAAAGCATAAGAAGTATAAAAAAATAAAGTATAAGAAGGCTTAAGCTGCAATATCTAATAATATCATTTATAATTACTTAAATATGGTGGTGGTGTGGTCATGTCTAGGAATGTAACACGTTAAAAAAATCTATGGCCAGGCACGGTGGCTCATGTCTATAATCCCAGTACTTTGCGAGGCCAAGGCAGGCAGTTCACCTGAAGTCAGGAGTTCAAGACCAGCCTGGCCAACATGGTGAAACCCTGTTCCTACTAAAAATACAAAAATTAGCCAGGTCTGGTGGTGAACGCCTAACAGAATCCCAGCTACTTGGGAGGCTGAAGCAGGAGAGTCACTGGAACCCAGGAGGCAGAGGTTGCAGTGAGCAGAGATCATGCTACTGCACGTTAGCCTGGGTGACAGAGCAAAACTCCGTCTCAAAAACAAACAAACAAAAACCAAGAATAACCAAATCTCTTAATTTATTATTCCCATCACTTGGGAACATTGGTCCAATTATCATGGAGTGATGATGATATCAAGAAAACAAACTTAAATTATTCACACAACTCAACAGCAGAAAAACAAATCATCAATTTAAAAATGGGCAATGGACTTGAATAGATATTTCTTTAAAGAAGACATAAAAATAGCCAACAGGCATATAAAAAGGTGCTCAATGTTACTAGTCAACAGGGAAATGCAAATGAAACTATAATGAATTATCACTTCACATCTGTTAGAATGGTGATTATCAGAAAGACAACAGATTAAGTGTTGGTGAGGGTGTGGAGTAAGGGAACCCTTGCATACTGTTGGTGGGAATGTAAATTGGCATAGGCATTGTAGAAAACAGTATGGAAGTTTTTAAAGAAATTAAAAATAGAATTACCAGATGGCTCAGTAAGCCCTTTGCTGGGTATATATAGCCAAAGGAAATGAAATCACCCCTTTGTAAAGATACCTGCATTCCCATGTTCATTGCTATGTTCATTGTCATGTTCATTGCAGTAGTATCAACAATAGCCAGGTCGGGCAGTGGCTCACACCTATAATCCCAGCACTTTGGGAGGCCCAGGTGGGTGGATCATCTGAGGTCAGGAGTTTGAGACCAGCCTGGCCAATACAGTGAAACCCCATCTCTACTAAAAAAAAATTAGCTGGGCATGGTGGTGGGCACCTGTAAACCTGCTACTTGGGGGGCTGAGGCAGAAGAATAGCTTGAATGAGGGAGGTGGAGGTTGCAGGTTGCAGTGAGCCGAGATCACACCATTGCACTACAGCCTGAGCAGCAAGAGTAGAAAACTCCGTCTCAAAAAACAAAACAACAACAACAACACCAAAAAAAAACCAATAGCGTGCGTGCACACACACACAGTGGAATATTATTCAGCTATAGAAAAGGAGATCCTGCCATTTGCCACAACACAGATGAAACTAGAAGGTATTATATTAAGTGAAATAAGCCAGACACATAAAAGTACTACATGATCTCTCTACTTATATGTGGGATCCAAAAAAAGGAAAGAAAAAAGGTAATTCCGGAGCAGAGGTACCCTTGAAGAATGCAGAGAAAAGTCACAGTATCTTTAGACACCTTGGTAGGACTGACTTTGGTCTGTTAGTTGCCAAAATGGTACAGTTTAGGGGAGTGTAGAAAAGACCTCTCTGCTTAATTTATTCTCAAGTTCTCCACTTTGCCAAGACTCATAGTTAATTGTTTGCAAAACCCCCGGGGGTCTTTTAGCTCCTCTTTGTTTTTTTTTTCTGCATATTACCAACTTGCTTTTATTGATGAATATCACAAACTTCAATCATTTAAAAAATATTATTCTGCATGCATTTAACAAATCTGACAAAAGAACAAGTATCCAGTTTATTTGCATTGTAACTATGACATTATAACTGAACTCTTTAAAACTCCTTAGCTCCTCTTTAAATAGTTCCTTCACCTTGCTGTAGCTCAGAGATTCTTACCTGGAGGCAATTTTGCCCACCTCCCCAGAGGGCTTTTGGCAATGTTTGGAGGTATTTTTAGTTGTCACAATTAGAGATGGTGCTACTGACATCTAGTGGGAAGAGGCCAGGGATGCTGCTGAACACCCTGCAATGACAATGTGCAGGATGGCCCCTCACAGCAAAGGATGATCAGACTCAGATGTCAATGGCCAAATTGAGAAACCCTGAGTCTTGTCTATGGGCACTGCTTCCTCTTTAGCCCTTTTAGATCATCTGTGTTTTCTCATGCCGTGGGGTTTGGAGGTAGAGTGAGGGTCTTCTTCCCTTGTTATTGCTTCTTGCAAACAATTCTCCCTCCCTAAATCCTTAAAAAAGCTCAACTTAACTTTGAATTTTACATCATTAGACATGATCACTTACTACTTCTCCTTACTGCAGTCATCTACAGATTTTCACTGCTTTCATTGTCATTCTTTCCAACACAACTATTTTAAATCTTGGTGATTTCATAATCCACACAGATGAAGCTTCCAACATCCTGGACTCTCAGTTCCTTGTATTCCACTCCTGCAGGGAGTATGGCTGTCCATTGCAGTCACTTCCTCACCTACACGGCCATAATTGCCATCATCTGAATTCCACTTTCTGACCACTACCTCCTATCATTTTAGCCCATTCCTGTAGTAGGTTGATTTCAACAAACCTTTGATCTCATTAGGACAACCAATCCATCAATCAATTGCATAGTATTTATACTATAAAAATCAGCAAATCCACAAATTAGTGTTCTTTTCCTTTCTTTCAGAAAGCTAGTTTTTAAACATTTACCTCTTATGTATTCATGAGATACACCTTAAGCAATCTATGTATATGTGTGTGTGTGTATATATATATATTTGTAGATATATATGTATACATATATACAATGTCGCTTTGCACATTTAAAAATTTTACATACCTGGCTTACTATAGTGTGTTTTCTGATATAACTTCCCCCCCACAACATTTAGATTATGAGATGCATTCAGGTTGATATATGTAACTCTGGATTACTCTTATTATTATTGTTATTATTTTTTGAGACAGAGTCTCACTCTGTCACCCAGGCTGTAGTTCAGTGTTGTGATCTTGGTTCACTGCAGCCTCTGCCTCCGAGATACAAGTGATCTTCCCACTTTAACCTCCTGGGTAGCTGGGACTACAGGCCTGTGCCACCACATCTGATTAATTTTCATATTTTTAGTAGAGGCTGGGTTTCGCCATATTGACCAGGCTGGTCTAGAACTCCTGACCTCAGGTGATCTGCTTGTTTTGGCCTTTCAAAATGCTAGGACTATAGGCATAAGCCAAGGCACCGATTGGTTCATTCATTTTTACTCTCCTGCCCTACACAGTAAGAATGTAACCTCCATGAAGGCATAGATTTTTGTTGATTATATTCTCTGCTGTATTCCTAGGATTTGGAACAGTGTCTGGCACAAAGCAGGCTCATATTTATTTGAAGAAACAGGCCAGGCCTGGTAGCTCACGCCTGTAATCCCAGTACTTTGGGAGGCCAAGGTGGGTGGATCACTTGAGGTCAGGAGTTTGAGGCCAGCCTGGCCAGCATGGGGAACCTGTCTCTACTAAAAATACAAAAATCAGCCAGGCATAGTGGCAGATGCCTGTAATCCCAGCTACTCTGGGGCTAAGGCAAGAGACAAGAGAATCACTTGAATCCTGGAGGTAGAGGTTGCAGTGAGCCGAGATCGTGCCATTGCACTCAAGCCTGGGAGACGGAGCAAGACTCCATCTCAAAACAAAAACATGAAAACAAAAATTAGCCGGGCGTGGTGGCTCACGCCTGTAATCCCAGGTGCTCAGCAGGCTGAGGCAGGAGAATCACCTGAATCTTGGAGGAGTATGTTGCAGTGAGCAGAGATTGTACCACTGCACTCCAGCCTAGGCCACAGAGTGACACTTCGTCTTAAAATAAAATAAAATAAGATAAAATGAAATGAATGGTGTGCCTGAAATTCTATCTTTGTCACTTCTCGAAGATATTCCTTGGTTATTTGTCTTTTGGTTTCTGTTTTTTTTTTTTTAAATAAAGATGGGGTTTCACCATGATGGCCAGGCTGGTCTTGAACTCCTGACCTCAAGTGATACACCCACCTCGGCCTCCCAAGGTGCTAGGATTGCAGGCGTGAGCCACCGCGCCCGCCTTTTTTTTTTTTTTTTTTTTGCTGCCCCTTGTGGAGCAGGGCTACCCCATACACAGTGTGTCCAGAGTAGCCTATGTTGCTGTTTGGTAGCTTAGCAGATCTTACTATCCTGAACCACTTGGGTTTTCAAACCTTATCAATAAATTTATTTTGCATATCCTTTGTGACCAGAAGAGGGCAAGCTTGGAAGGAAAAAGAAATAGGTGAGAAATGGAACTAAGTCCTAAATGTAGGACGCTGCCTGTTTTGGATATCTGAAGCCACCAGGTGGCAGTATGAGCATGCTGGAAATTTAAGGTCCGGGATTCAGGCTACAGGGGTCTCCTGATGCAGAACAGTGCCCCAAACTTACACAATTTCCACTTTATTTCTCCTTTTAGTCGACTTGTAATTTATTAACATAATTATTCTGTAGGTTTATATAAGTTGATACTTTCTGTTTTCCCTTACATTTGATAATACTAAATTTAAAATATTGGAGCATAATAAATAAAAATCACATAGCAGGGTGCGGTGGCTCACACCTGTAATCCCAGCACCTTGGGAGGCCGAGAGAGGAGGATCTCTTGAGCCCAGGAGTTCAAGATCAGCTTGGGCAACATGGAGAGACCTTGTCTCTCCAAAAAAAAAAAGCTAGGCGTGGTGGTGAGCACCTATGGTCTCAGCTACTTGGGAGGCTGAGGTGGAAAGATCACTTAAGCCCGGTAGGTTAAGGCTGCAGTGAGCTGTGTTTGCACCACAGCATTCTAGCCTGGGCGAGAGTGAGACCGTGTCTCAGAAAAAACCAAAAACTGAAAACAAAACAAAATCAAACAAAAAAAAAGACAAAAATCAAAACAAAACAAAAAACTCACATAACATACAAATTACTATTAAGCCTTTCTTTTCTTTCTTTTGTTCTTTCTCTTTCTTCCTTCCTTGCTTCCCTCCCTCTCTTTCCTCTCTCTCTCTCTCTCCCTCTCTGTGTCTCTCTCTTTCTTTCTTAACATGGTCTGACTCTGTCACTTAGGCTGGAGTACAGTGGTGCAATCTCAGCTCACTGTAACCTCTGCTTCCTAGGTTCAAGCGATCCTCCCTCCTGAGTGTCAGGGACTACAGGTGTGTGCTACCATGCCTGGTTACTTTTTGTATTTTCTGTAGTGACGGGGTCTTGCCATGTTGCCCAGGAGGGTCTCCAACTCCTGAGCTCAAGCAATCTGCCTGCCTCGGCCTTCCAAAGTACTGGGATTACAGGCTTGAGACACTGTGCCGGGCCTTAAACTGTTTTAAAATGTCAAATTCGGTGGGTTTTAGTATAATACATTCACAATGTTGTGCAATCATTACTATGACCTAATTCCGGAATATTTACATTAAACAAAAGGAAATCATATCTATTCAGTCACTTGCCAGTCTCCCCCCCCCATCTTCTCACAAGTACTAATCTACTTTATGTCTTTTTGATTGCCTGTTCTGGAGATTTCTTGTAAATGGAATCATACGAAATAGCAGCACATTTTTTTTTTGAAACAGAGTATTGCTCTGTTGCCCAGGCTGGAGTGCAGTGGCTCGATCTCAGCTCACTGCAACTTCTGCCTCCTGGGTTCAAGGGATTCTCCTGCCTCAGCCTCCAGAGTAGCTGAGATTATAGGTGCCCGCCACCATACTTGGATAATTTTTGTATTTTTAGTAGAGTCTGGGATTCACCATGTTGGCCAGGCTGGTCTTGAACTCCTGACCTCAGGTGATCCACCCGCCTCGGCCTCCCAACGTGCTGAGATTACAGGTGTAAGCCACCGCTCCCAGCCAGCAAAACATATTTTTAATTGAAATATTTATCTATGGCATCATACAGATGGACATTGGAGACAGAATTGGGGAGGGTTGAAGGGGAGATGAGGGATGAAAAACTACCTGTTGGATACAATGGACAGTATGCGGTGACCAGTGCACTAAAAATCAAGATTTCACCATTTCACAGTTCATCCATGTAACCAAAAACCATTTGTATGCCTAATGCTATTGAAATTAAAAAATATTTTAAAGGATTTATCTATGGCATCAAAATAAGACTATGTTTCTAGGAATTTCATCTAAAATATCAAAGTTACGTACAAGATGGAAAAACATATGATTTTGGAACAATTGGTAACTCTAACTTACTTTAATATTACATAATAAAATTTTAAGGGCTACTTAAATTGTGTTTGCCTGCGCCCTTGGGCAGGGACATGCTTTGATTCTCTTAATTGCAATGAGATAAAGGCTGATGAATGGAAGTGATGGAGAATGATTAGCAGGATTCATGTTCCCTTAATTCATGTTCCCTTAATTCCCTAGCAAATAAAATGCAAAGCAATATCCAGTCATTATTTATCACGTTTTCAGGCTCCTACATAGTCTTCATGGTTCTGAGCCCAGAGCTGGCAGCAAGTGGTCCCTGATGGGTTTTGCCCATGGCATAGGCACACCACCTCTGGACATAGCTGGGCTAATGTTCAGCAAAAGTTTACAGAAACAGGGAGAGTGGTTTGGCTTCCTTTCATAACTTTCCCAGGGTTAGAACTTGTGAGTTCATGGCAACGTTTAGTCACGACTTAATTTTGTAAATAGAGACAGGGTCCCCATCTTTCTCCTGGACTGGAGTACAGTGGTGTGATCCTAACTCACTGCAGCCTTGAACACCTGGGCTCAAAGAATCCTCCTGTTCAGTCTTCCAAGTAGCTGGGACTTTACAGGTGCAGGCCACCACACTCAGCTAATATTTTTTGAATTTTTAAAAATAGAGACAAGGTTTTGCCATGTTGCCCAGGCTAGCCTCGAACTCCTAGGCTCCAGGGATTTGCCCATCTTGGCCTCCCAAAGTGCTGGGATTATAGGCATGAGCCACCATGCCCGGCCTCCTTCTTCTTACTTTATTTTATTTTCCAGCCTCCTTTTTCTTTTTCATTTTTCTTTTCTTTTGTTTTTTTGAGACATAGTCTTGCTCTGTCGTTCAGGCTGGAGTGCAGTGGCACAATCTCGTCTCAGTGCAACCTCCATCTCCTGGGTTCAAGTGGTTCTCCTGCCTCAGTTTCCTGAGTAGCTGGAACATGCCTGGCTAATTTTTTGTATTTTTAGCACAGACGGGGTTTCACCATGTTAGTGAGGACGGTCTTGATCTCCTGACCTCGCAATCTGCCCACCTCAGCTTCCCAAAGTACTGGGATTACAGGCGTGAGCCACCACACTCAGCCCCAAATTTCTGTTTTTTAATAGAGATGGTGTCTTACTTTGTTGCCTAGGCTAGTTTCAAACTTCTCGGCTTAAGCAATCCTCCCACCACACCCTCCCACTCTTGGCTAATTTTAAAGTCTTTTTTGTTGTTGTTGTTGAGATGGAGTTTCACTCTTATCCCCCAGGCTAGAGTGCAATGGTGCCATCTTGGCTCACTGGAACCTCTGCCTCTCAGGTTCAAGCAATTCTTCTGCCTCAGCCTCCTGAGTAGTTGGGATTACAAGCACCCACCACCATGCCTGGCTAATTTTGTATTTTTAGTAGAGATGGGGTTTCACCATTTTTTGTAAGGCTGGTCTTGAACTCCTGACCTCAGGTGATCCACCACCTTGGCCTCCTAAAGTGCTGGGATTACAGGCGTGAGCCACTGTGCCTGGCTGATTTTTAACTCTTTTGTAGAGACTAGGTCTCATTATATTGTCAGGGCTGGTCTCGTACTTCTGGGCTCAAGTGATCCACTTGCTTGGTATCCCAAAGTTCTGGGATTACAGGCATGAGCCACCATGCCCGGCCTCCAGCAGTTTTTCTGAGGGACTCCCACAGCACTGAATTGACATTTCACTAGTGACAAACACAGAAAGATGCATCTACTTTAAAACTGAAATTCACTGAAGTAAAAGTGACAGGAACATAGGGAGAAAAATGACTCTATAGCCTTCATAATTTTTTTAATAATAGAAATAGGCAGCTATGTCTTGAAGATTACAACATTCAGATTTTTAAAAATTCAGAGAGCTGGATGTGGGTGGCTTGTGTCTATAATCCCAGCTGCTTGGGAGGCTGAAGTGAGAGGGTCGCTTTAGGCCAGATGTCCCAGACCAGACTGGACAACATAGCAAGACCCCCCATCTCTTAAAAAAAGTTTTAAACAATTATCTGGGCTTGGTGGCACACACCTGTAGTCCCCACTCAGGAGACTGAGGTGGGAGGATCACTTGAGTCAGGAGTTCAAGGCTTCAGTGAGCTATAAAAATGCCACTGCACTGCAGCCTGGGTGACAGAGTGAGACCCTGTCTCAAAAAAAAAAAAAATTCAAGAAAAGGAAAGCCATAATTCATTGGAATGATGGCTGGGCACAGTGGCTCACACCTGTAATCCTGGCACTTTGGGGGGCCAAGGACGGTGAATTACCTGAGGTCAGGAGTTTGAGACCAGCCTGGACAACATGGCAAAACACTGTCTCTAGTAAAAATAGAATAATTAGCTGGGTTTGGTGGCACACACCTGTAGTCCCAGCTACTCTGGAGACTGAGGCAGGATAATTGCTTGAAACTGGGAGGCAGTGGTTGCAGTGAGCCAAGATCGCACCACTGCATTCCAGCCTAGGCACCAGAGTGAGACTGTCTCAAGAAAAAAAAAAATTCACTGGAGTGAGATTTTCTTTTTTTTTTTGAGACGGAGTTTCGCTGTTGTTACCCAGGCTGGAGTGTAATGGCACGATCTCGGCTCACTGCAACCTCCGCCTCCTGGGTTCCAGCAATTCTCCTGCGTCAGCCTCCTGAGTAGCTTGGACTACAGGCACGCACTACCATGCCCAGCTAATTTTTGTATTTTTAGTAGAGACAGGGTTTCACCTTGTTGACCAGGATGGTCTCGATCTCTTGACCTCGTGATCCACCCACCTCGGCCTCCCAAACGCACCACCATACCCAGCTAATTTTTGTATTTTTAGTAGAGACGGGGTTTCACCTTGTTGACCAGGATGGTCTCAATCTCTTGACCTCGTTGATCCACCCACCTCGGCCTCCCAAAGGGCTGGGATTATAGGTGGAGCCACCGCACCCGGCCCTGGAGTGAGATTTTCATTCATTTATCGTCATTCATTAAATATCTAGTAAGTGCCTGTTATTTGCTCTGCACTGTGCTAGATGTGCCATGGTCAAGAGGATTGGGTTGCCCTGAAATAGTCAACTCTGATTACATAATTTAAAATGACCTCAGTGAGGAAGAGAAAAAGATGTCTGAAAAAGCCATTGTGATAGTATGGGGCATGTTCTAATTAGTTCCTATATTAATAAAAAATACATGTATGATAGAAATAAGGAAATGTGACCAAAGATGAATAGAGAAAATTCTACAAATCTGTAAAAATGGCATGAGGAACACTAAAGCTCTAATGAGGGGAGAATTGCAATGCCACTAAGGACAAGTAAACCAGTTTTATAGTCTAGACACAGTGACTCACACCTGTAATCCCAGCACTTTGGGAGGCCGAGGTAGGTAAATCACCTTAGGTCATGAGTTTAAGACCAGTCTGGCCAACATGGTGAAACCCTGTCTCTACCAAAAATACAAAAATCAGCTGGTCATGGTGGTGCATGCCTGTAGTGCAGCTACTTGGGATGCTGAGGTAGGAGAATCGCTTGAACCCAGGAGGTGGCAGTTGTAGTAAGCCAAGATTTTGACACTGCACTCCAGCCTGGGCAATAGAGTGAGACTCTGTCTCAAAAACAAAAAAAGGATTACATTTATCTCAAGAAGATAAAAGAAGACCTAGGTCTGATGCTTGGGCTGTGTAGTGTGAATGACAGAGGAAGAAGCAGAACCCTTTATGTCTGTCTTCTGTGTCACAGAAAATGGTCTGGATACTGAAAAAGGTAAAACAAAAGTGGGTCCGAAGGAACTGGAGCCCAAGATGAGTGAGAAGTGTGAGAATATATAAATTGCACAGTGATCTAAGTAATTTTCAATTATCTGGTTTACGTGAATTGCATCCAGTTTACTCAGAGAGCCCTGAATGAGTAGACGAACAGATGTTCTGTTATTTGAAAATCAAGGAGAATGAAATCAAGATCAGCTATAGGCAAACACAGTGACAATTTCTTTTTTCTTTTCTTTTCTTTCTTTTTTTTATTTTTTATTTTTGAGATGGAATCTCACTCTGTTGTCCAGGCTGGAGTGCAGTGGCGTGATCTTGGCTCACTGTAACCTCCACCTCCTGGGTTCAAGTGATTCTCAGCCTCCCCAGTAGCTGGGATTACAGGCACCTGCTACAGTGCCCAGCTAATTTTTTGTAATCAGGCTGGTCTTGAACTCCTGACATCGTGATCCACATGCGTTGGCTTCCCAAAGTGCTGGGATTACAGGCGTGAGCCATTGCACCTGGCTACAGTGGCAATTTCTAATAGGAGAAGGTGGAGCTCTCAGATTATATGCTGGTGAAACTGGTTTTGATTCTCGGCAAGATTCAAAAAAGAATTCTTCAAAGTATCATTTATGTGGTTGCATAAAGGAAACACATTCTTAGAAGCGAGAGTTTGCTAGAGATGTGTATTTTCAGATTAACCTTACTTTATTTTTTCTTTCTTTTTTTTTTTGAGACAAGATGTGGCTCTGTTGCCCAGGCTGAAGTGCAGTGATACGATTACAGCTCACCACAACCTCCACCTCCTGGGCTCAAGCCATCCTCCCACCTCAGCCTCTTGAATAGCTGGGACTACAG